TGGGTGACTTATAGCTTACCCACAATATAGTATGCTTGCCGTGTTAAGCCACGTCCTCAGTCGTAATTGGAATGGGACTTTTATACAGGTGTCTTGCTACGTTTCTTTCTAGGGATTTTTTTGAAATCTGAATTAAATTCTTGTTCAACATTGCAATGTCCAAAATCAAGAAAAGTTCTTTTTTCATGTACATTGAACAGCCATCCTAATGATGCAAAATATACTTCACAGAGACCTAAGGATTTTGCTACAACACAACGAGTATCATCAATTCGAAAGTATCCAAAACTATTAAACTATCATTTATCTTTTCAATTCCAGACCCCAGGACTAAGAACATGATTATTCCTTGCGTGTAGAGTGAGGTTCAGATATCCTGTTGGGTTGCACTGGTCAGTGAAGTAGAAGGGCACTGTATCTCCGCAGTGGTAAGTTCATCGTTATTCTATAGAATATAGCAATTTTCATTGCAATGTGTCCAAAGTAATCTAGGCTTGTGCAGGTTTAATTTACTCCACCACATTAGTGAGTGGTTGAATACCCTTGAATCACTTTCTTCAACGTCAGGATGGAAACCCATAATCAATATTATAATATGACTTAGGCCTCGCTGCAATCCCGTAGAAAACCATAATGAAAGTTGACTAGTGTAGGACCGGACGGGTGGACTCTGACCTTTCTGGAAAAAAGCTACCGGCTCATCACTCCACGGCTTTTTTGCAAAAAAATTTAAGTAAAACAGAAAAGAGTAAGAAAAGTTGCGTTTTTCGATGAATTGAGTTTCTTGTTCTAATTCGAATAAAATCAAAGTGCTCTGTGAGCAAACTCGTGAATTGACTGATGACTTACATGATTTTTTGGATTATGTTTAATGTTATCTGGTTTAGGGAATTTTGTGGTTGATTGTCATATTTAGAGTACGAGCAGTAGTTCGGTGTTCGCTAATGTAGCAAAGAAACAAAGTAACCTTGGGATAAGGAAGCATTACAATTGAAATGATCATGCTATTACATTTGACAAGGGTGGATGATGTCATGTGTTTTAAACATATATCATTTTTGTTTCTGGTTCAAAAGAAAAGATTGGAAGTAAATGTGGGTGAAAAGTGAAATTTACTGTCTATTATTGTAAATATTGGAAAATCAAGGCAAAACTGTCTTAATGAAAACATTGATGGTTCCCTCTTTATCAAATGAGACAAACGGGAGCGTGTTTTGACTTATATAACTAAGCCCAGACTGCCACCGTCATTTTGGATTTCCGCCAGGGTAGATTTTTGTCACGTGCTAGGCAACGTATGATCAAAAAGAAGATATAATTTAATTTCAGGCCTATTTATCAATTTTGCGGTGTATAACTTTCGCATTTTAGTACGAAATATTTATTTTGAATCTTCAAACTGTCTTGAAACTTAAAAGAAAATTGTTCCTTAAAAATTCACTGAAAATCGGTAGCCAAAATTATTTGTTTAGGTGTTATTTGATTTTCGTGTCAACCTGTAATTTCGTCAGTCGCCGGAACCTTTTGTTGCTTCACACAGGAAAAACACACAGTACGAAATGTAATGATCGAATTTGTCCCCAATCTCACGCCATAACAGAAAAAGCTTTTGAAGACCTGTAAACTCCGAGTGCTTCGGAGTAAGCGATATTTTTAATTAATCCTCGGATTGTTTTCAAGTTCAAGGATTATAAATTACAATTTTATGAAAAACGAAGGTTATTCTCTTATTTCAGTATGAATCCTCGCGCGCCTGCTAGTCGCTGGCGCTGCTTGTTGAAACTAAAACGAAAAAATTAAACTGTTAAGATTATGATTGGCTTCTTTTTCACCCCACCACTATTCTTAGCAACAGAGGTCGCTTTGATTGTTGTTGATTGTTGATTATTTTTTGTGGTTGTCCCACATGCGCCCGTCTACGCGTCATATTAAGGTTGAAACGTAACTTCCATCTTATCAACATTCCAGCGGTCATATAATTATCAACTAAGTATGGTCGGGCTGGCCGGGAATAGAAAAAAGATCTGTAGCGATTTTAGGTACACAAGTAGAAAACGGAAGTGATCTTTCATCCTTTACATGAAAGATGTTGACGTAAAAAAATAACTTCGAAATAATCTTCGAAAAGATGATAATCATAGCTAGTTAAAAGGGTAGCTTGTGAATTCGAAAGAGTTTTATCACACGAGAAAAATAGCAACTTCGTACCACACTCGTGACAATACAAAGAGCATCGTTCTCTATCTCACCACCGAGCATAAAATTTACCACCTCTCTCATTCTGTTTACGTACAGGACGCTCTCGACATTGCTAATCCTAGCAGTATGCGAGGCGCGTGTTAGATATGAACCTCGTGATGGCTTTGCTTACCATAGAGTCTATGTGGTATAGCACAGAAGCGCGGAACCAGAAGATCTTGCGTTCGATTCTTCATGGGGACTCACAAATTTTACTTTGTCTCACGCTCACGACAAGGCGAATAAATATCTTTAATACTCTTCCTTACATGAATCTGTAATGAGAGTCAATACTCAACCGAAGAAATTCTGATTGTCAAAAGTCAACTGCATATGGCGATTCATTTTTTCTGACAATGTAATTAACAAAAGTCACAATTCAAATTAAACCAGTAAAGCAATGATCGTCCACTAACAGCCCAAGGAGATCAGGAATGGCGCTGCTAAAACTTTTCCCATAATGTACTATCAACCAGAAGTTCGCTCGAGGTAATCATTTTCCCGGTAATGGAGACAACGAAAGAGAAGAACGTGGGGGAACATCTTAACTAGAAATTGACCTTTAACTGATAAAAATTAATTGGGTTTCTTTCTTACATGAAGAGAATTATACCGTCGCTCCTCCTTAGGTATATACAAGCAGCTCGTATTCAATTGGCGAGAGGGAATATGATAGCGAATGGCGTATTTGGTACTTCTAACTGAGATCTACGCCATGTAGATTTTAATGATCGCGCATTCTCGCAAAAACCTGAATAATAAGATTGTCTACTTTTGCCTTTCAAAAAAGTTGTTTAATCAAGGAGGGGGATTTTACTCTTGATGGAACCTCTTAACCAGGTATAAAGATACTCTCGGTATAAAGATACTCTTTTCTTATGGGGGAGATAGAACCTTTTTATTTCTAGAATATTATCTTTTTATCCTACGGCCTTCAAACTTTCTGTTTTCGTAGATAATTCATTACAGGCAGGACTTGAAAGAAGTGTAATTTGAGTTTAAATGGCTTCTTGTTGTGAATAAGCACGATGACTGAGAGCGTGCTTAAAATATAGAAAACGTCTCCCCAAATTGCGTAAACTTATTCAGCGGGTTTTCGCATAACTTCGATTTCATAAGGCCTAACAATACAAAAACTCTGTTGCAACCGTTAGAAGCTTACTGTTTGTTAACACCATTTTTTTTTCGTTCTGCTGTTTCTTTTTTTGTGTATTTTGTTTTGTGAGTTGTTTTTACTTCATGGTATTACCTTTATACACATTCCAAATACATAAATTGCCTCATTTTCAGTTCGAAAGGATAATCCCTGAAATGTGTAATAATTTGCTTGGCGGCTTACTACGCATATTGAATCGACATTAAGGTTTAAAAGTTAACTAGGAATTTATTTTGACCATTTCAGTTTCAGCTGAAATAAGCGCAGGGGCCTCTTCAGCTGCTAAAAGATAATAAAAAATGACTAACGGTGTCCTGGTGTTGAATGAATGAAAATTAATTTTTAAGATGTCGCCATGATTATCATAACGAGGGTATTGCAGTAAAGAAAGTGGTTGAATCCTGAATCAGAACCAACTGAGTCAATAGCTTGGCAATAATGAGTATGTTCCGAGGAATTCTCACTCTTTTTTTTCCCGATGTTTGGGAGTTATTTTTGTTTGTTAAATTGTTTAGCAACGAAGGACTAGAAGACGGCCATTGTCCACACTTTAACAGCCATGACTGACCAATACAGAGTTTCTCCTTACTATACAATATCAAATATAGAAGTGTTGAGAATATAGAAAAATATCACGTAGGGAATCAATAGTTGATCCTCTACCAGTTTCCCCAATCTCATATCACAAGAACTGTATGGCAGACAGTCAGGAGAATTACTAATGAGATCTTGAGAGTGAAAGGTTGAAAGCGCGTTAGTCTTGGAAAAATTTGGTACTCGGGCGCACTTCCCATTTAACTTTCATTGTTCTTTGTTAAAAAGTTTGGCCTTAAAAGTCAAACAAGCTTTGCCTCGGTAAAGATTCACCAAGATTTCTCGCTTAACATCCTAGGACACCTTAAATTACGTTAATTAATTTCTTTCAAATTCTCATATTTTATCTGTAATGACAGGCATAAAATTATAGATTTATCAGTTCAACGTGTTGATTCGTTCTTAAAAATCCGTGAATAAGTCATTAGTTTTTTCACACTTCTTAATTAGTACTTCTTAATACTTCTTAATTCAAAGAAATGAATTATTTCATTTTGCATTCAAAATTGCAGTAAACAAAAATTCAAAAACATGTTCGGTGGGTAAAGGTACTTACGTTTTTACTCATGTAGGTCATAAATTTATATCCAACCGTACAATTTGGAATAAATATGCAAGCATGGGTAGTTTTTTTAAAAAAAATTGCGCAACCCTTACGGTGCGTGTAAATGAAATTGGGGAGTGCTTGTTTCTTCTTAGGGGCACAAGAAATCAGCTTAAAAGATTTCTGGCAGTGTGCAACTTTGTATTCTCAATTTCAATTTCCGCGCTGTTGGAGTTTAATTAATGTTCTCTCAACCAATCGACACTTTTTGGTTAATTGAAAATCGGCATCTTTTTCATTCCACGCTGTAGTATTGGCAATCAATTATGAATTTACATTGCGTGGGCGAGTATAACCGAACGTCTCCGCAAGTTTTCCTTACTTAAATCTGCCAATGAAAAAATCGTGGTAAGTGGTCGTGTGTAAACTCTTGGCTGAAGCCTTCAACAAACATTGAAGGTTGAGGTGATGGAACCTGTAAACGCTCCTCCATTTGTTCTTTTTCGAGGGTTGTTGCTCTACGCAATTTTCATCACCGCATTAGAGTCATCCACTGTTTCTCGATCAGCATACTTCACAACGTTGACAAATAAGCAGCTTAAAGGCTTTGTGGTAAAACGGTTTGAGTCTCCTGGTCAAATTTGGTGCAGTCAGTCTTGTTTGAAAAACGCCTGGTGTACTTCAACAAACTTCAAACTTGCTCCTAAAATTTCTAAGTCCGATGGCAAAGGAACTTGCGAACTAAACAAACACGATGGCTCTGCTGTCAAAGAAAACATGTTTTTGCAGTTCGAGGAAGGTGCCAGTTTCTCAGTGCCTCTTAAGGTAACGAACAGCCTAAAATGCCTCATCTGGCTTTAAAGGGCTCCGCAAGTTGACGCAACTGCAGTTTAATTAACATTTAAATTGTTAGTTGGCGTTTAATTTTGAAATTAACCTGCGTGTCTTCATATCGCTAATATTTCATTTTTAAAATGAATTGACTCATTTTGGCTTAAGTCTTTGGCACCATATTGTATGTTTTTTTTTTCAATTTTCAGAATTGTAAGGCTGGAAAGTGAAAATTCATGACCACAGCACTATAATTGAAGTTGAGCAAAAACCTATCTTGTATGTGAAAAATAGATGTCTTGAATTTCCTCAAATTATGGGCGCATATGATTGGAAAAAATAACTGCTCTTGAACAAAAAAACCCAGAGCATAGCTACTTTATAAAAGCGCTAGTCGGCACTTTCTATCGATTTACCAGCCTAATAAATAGTGCGAGGTGTTGGGAAAACACGAGTATTACTGTAAATCATGAGTCAAAAGCGATTTTTGTGCTAACATATCCCGTGTGCGATATCGTCGCTAAAATGATAACAGGCTCGATTTATTGCCAACTAGCTAACAGGTGCTCTTCACGGCAAAGTGTGTTAGAGAAAATTAGCATACATTTTTAAGACTACTACGCTTCTCAACGCTTTTTTTCGTTTTTGATGTGCTAACAATGAATCTCCTTTACAGAGAAATTATTTACGCTAGATTTCTGCATTATTCTTGAGTATTCTGAATTACGAGCAGCTGGCATCAGACAAAATTGAATCCTTGATTTCGTGTATGCCACGATCTTAATACAGTCGAAGTGCGAGCAATAAAAATTTAACTTTCCGTTTTTTTTTCTGTTGTTAAGTTTTAATCAGAGCTGGTATTTTTTTGAAAGCGAAATGAATGTATGCCTTGAATAATGACATGAATTGACAAACAACGAGGAAAAGACAAGAGAACAAAAATTAGTCACCATTTCTTAGACGAAGGGCAAACCTCACCTTGAATAAGGTAATGCCGGCTTATATGAATCATCAGTTATACAAATATTTCTGTTCATAAACTTCATTCACCATAATCAGAACCACAGCTTTTTTCTTACTTCTGGAAACATGCTAAATATTTCGCTCAGGAATTAAAGCACGGAGAAAATAAAGCTATCAGACGCCGCAAAGACTGATTAATTTCAGCATAAGCCGAAGAAAGAAGACATTGACCTGCCTCTGTCAGTCTTGACAAAATATGTTTCTGGCGTGTAAAAATTCGTTTGACAAAATCTATGGTCTTATCGGCTACTGTTCAGTCTACGTGCTAGCTTTTTGAATTCTCATGAAAAATCTTTCGGACTGAAGGTAACATATACTGTGCAGGTCTCAGAAGCTATTTTTTCTTGAGGAGTCTAATTTAACAAAATTGTAATTTGTGCCGGCGACGGGTTAAGCAAACGGGTTAGTTGTTTTTGTTTGTTTGTTTTTTATTTAAGTTCTGCCAAAACAGATGATAAATTTTGGCACATAAGGCTTGCGGCATCAAAACAGCTATTCAGTGAAAGGCGAGCTCAATTTTCTTTTTGAAAGTGGTATCAGTGCATTATGGAGATCTTCTCTAATTTCATTTCTATACTGATATGAAATGGATGGATGTGTAGATGGGTGATTGGATGGATCAGAAGTGACCCATTAGATGAAAGGATGGATGTTTCAAAGAAAACACTTAACTTTCCAGTAGTCTTTAGAATCTGTCAGTCGGTTAAACAAGAGGAACAAATAAAACTTTAAATGCCCTGTTTCGAAGCTGACGTTAGCCCTCCATCTTTCGCTCTGACGAGGGGCTAACGCTCGAAACGTCAGCTTTCAACTCTAGGGAGGCCAAGTTACGTCATCTACTCAGTTGATAATATTGAATTACCTTGTTATACTCTCCTACAGAAGCAGCACCTCAGTTTCTTTAGAAACTTACCCTCTTTATATAATTTTAAATGCATTATTCTTTGTTACAGGCTAAATAACGGCAGAAATCGACTATTACATTTTCATTGATACGGCAATTAATTTTTGGTCCGAAATATTACATCGAGCTCGAATCATTAAGTCCAAGAAAAAAGCTGAGCACTTCTTTGGAATAATTCCAAAGTACATTCATATTCGTGTTCTGAACAGTTTTTTTACACGTATTGTCTGTCACTGCTTCTTGTTAGGGCTGCCAAATAACCGACAGTTGTAAAAATGGAGGTGCTTGCGTGTATGACGAGAAAAAACAAACTTATTCATGCAGGTGCAAGCCACCTTGGACCGGAGAAACTTGTGCTGAGCTGGGTAAGAACAACTTTGAACAGTAGAATGCAGGTGGTCAAGTTCTTTCGGTCAAGTCAAATACAACGCAAAATATTTGTCTCCGAGACTTGAAAACAAACAGATAAAAAAAAAAAAACAGAAAAACGAAACGAAACAAAACGGAGCTTTTTAAGAGAGAAGTTAAATAGAAAACTGACAAGAATGGAAAAGATATGGGGGATTCAAAATTTATGTGTGTATGTATAATTTTTTATTTGAAATAAATCGCAAAACGTCCAACATTTCATATTTTTTTTAAGTTAACAAATCAGCAGATCTAAGTTTGATATTTATTGAAAAATGACCGATCACAAAGCGTTTTGTACATGGCATAGCGGAAAAATGACTGAGCGTCAGCGGAGTCAAATCGGCCCCACGCCTTTCATGTAAGGGTCCACAATTTTTCTATATTCCTTTTACATTAACGTTGCCTAGGACGTTTAGCAAAATAGTGTTGACGAAAATTCTAAACGTTATCTTATACTCCCAAAAAGTTACTTGTGACAGCCATCCCTGCAAAAACAATGCAACTTGCACAGATGGAGTCGACGGATATAACTGCAGCTGTGCACCAGGATTTTACGGGACACAGTGTGAAAAGATTGAAGGCCTGTCTTGTTCATCAGGTTTGTAGAGACGTGTATCGTATTTTGATGACATGTTCTGAGAGCGCAAGCTTCCTTCTACAAAGCGAAGTGTCGTGGAGATGGGCGTGACCATTCAACATTTTAGAAAGTTTTAGATTGGACATTAATTATAGGTTATACTGTAGCTGTGCATCAGGGTTTCATGGAACACAGTGTGAAAAGATCGAAGCTTGTCGTGTTCAACAGCTTTGTAGAGACGTGAAAGATATTTCATATGATCTACACGAAAATCATCTGTATGGATCCCTGGAGTTCAGCAACAGGCTTTGGTGGTTTTTTGCAACATATGTGCTTTTGGCAATCAGACTAAACAGAGTTACTACAAACAACTGCATGTCATTCAACAAATTATGCATCTACTAGACATGTGCCTAAAATGTAATTTATAACTTTAAAATGGTTGATCACAGTAGTATAGTTAATAATATATCACCTGCCGAAAAGCAACAATTGCTCCTAGGCCTTGTCAATCTAAGGTAGTTTTTGGGCTAAGTGGTATTCCTCTTGTATTCTGCATAGCCATATGTTTCAAAGGCTCCTAAGTGTTTTTCTTTTTTGGTTGAAGCCAATTTTTTTACTGGATCTCTTATACCCCCCTTTTCGCTCATTGCGTTGAAACACGGGTGCATGGCGACCATTTATGCCGAGCGTTCCGCTGGAAACCTAAAATAATTTATGCAGATGTCAGAATATTTATTGGCAAGATGTCCTGATATTTGCTTGTGGACTGTTTGAAATCTAGTCTCTTGAGGTATTAATTATCAATAACAATGGTTGACAAACGATATATACAAGGTACTCAATCCTGGACCGTTTCTTCTGAATTGATTCATGAAATTCTCTTTAGAGAACGTAGGAAGGGGCACTTCCGCTTTATAAATCATTCATTTTTTCCCCACAGCTTACCGGATTATTTTTAAACAGTCTACCACCGAAAGTTATGCCATCAAAGCAAATGCCATTTCATCTAATCTCACGGAATTTACGGTGTGCCTTTTTGTTAAAAGGAAGGATATAAATTCAAGTCATTACCAGTGTGTCTACAGCTATGCAGAAGCTTCTGGTTATGATATTGGAAATGCCATATATGTCTGTTTGAATACTCCAAATATTGAGATCAATGTGGATAACCGCGGATACAGGTAAGTGATGTATCAAACCCAACTTCTGAAAACAGAATTGAGAAAATTCTAACGCTCCGCGGAACTCTCTTTGACTTTTTCCGGGGCGCTTAGCATTGTACTGAAGCAATTTCTGTGGAGCTAAAGGATGGGGGGAAAACGCAGTGCCATATTATGATAGAACGAATTAACGAGAACAGCCAACGAAAATGCTCGGGAAATGCAGGAGAATTTTGATAAAAATATACTGGCTTTTATCGAAGTCAGAAAAACATCACTGTAATGTGGATAAAACAGTGCATGCTTTGGTAAGGGGTATCATCGAGAAAGAAACCAAAACAAAAAACAATAATGATTTCAGCCATTCTAAAGCATGATGTTCTTCCTCAATCAACCTAATTGATAAAAAGGCCTCAACCACCAACGGTAGATATTTGGAAACCCTTTCTTTCGCACTACAATGCAAAAAATCACAAGGAAAATGAAGAGTAGTAAAACAAAATTAATAACAATGACTTGAGCTATGATGACGGCCATGATTTTTGGAGATGGACCCTACTAAAATGGAATTAGCCTTGATTGGTAGTATTGCAGCCATGGAATGAACCGTTTATTGATATGAAATTTTAAATTTGTCTTTGATCATTTTTCAAGTGGTACAAACACCGGAGTCAAGATCAATGACACTATGTGGCATCACATCTGTGTTACCTGGAGAAGCACAAACGGCGCCTGGCAGTTTTATCTGGATGGACAACTCCAAAGCAATGGAACAGGCTTGAAAGAAAATCACCAGATTCCAGCTGGCGGAACAGTTGTCATTGGACAAGATCAAGATACAGTTGGAGGGGGCTTCCAAACCGCTGATAGTTTTGGACCAGGTGAGGTTACAGAAGTTAATCTTTGGAGCAGAGTCTTATCAGCGAGTGATATTGCAGCACAGTATGCAAACTGTCACATAACCAAAGTCGGCCTGATGCACTGGTGGGAACAATTCAAAGATGGCGTTTCAGGTGTGACAGTAGTCAAGCCTTGAATGGCGAAATCATTGACTTTTTGCGCGTAGCAGAGTCCAAGAGTTATTGTGAGAATTCATGTTCTTTATAGGACAACAGCAATAATACCTCTTCACTCCTTTATAATTGTTAAGCTAATTTAGATTAATATTTATGATGCGTATTATTGATTAGGTTACTGCAGCTAACTCATCAGAAGTAAATCAGAATAAACTAATGCTGGAACCACGCTCTGTATCATCCTTGACTACCTTAAGCCAAGTGATGCCTTTATGATCTATTATTTCCAACTCCGACACCCTATTAGGCGTATTTCTGAGAATATCGAGAGTCAACGGACACTCACAAAAACAACAAATTTTTTTGTATTTTACCATAAAACTCTTTTGGATTAGTGGAAAGGGTTGACTCACCTCGTCTAGATCTATTCCCGATCTTTCCTCGCCCATAGCTCCCGCTCATATCGAAAAACTGGAAAAATTATTGACTGCCAGTATTCTGTAATTGTCTCAAGTTTTTTTTTAATGAATGTATTAAGTTTTCTTTGTTTATTTAGCAATGTTATGTGTTTATTCATGCCGTTTCTATTTTGAGTCAATTTATGTCGGCCTGCCTTCAGTCTGAAGTTAAGGTTTAAACATCTGTTAAATAAGGGGAGTCTCTTTTTTTTTACAATACGGTATTTTCTCCCACGAAGTTTACAGGTGGGCTGCTCTTTGATTTACTCGACCCAGTATTTCCTGGTCGCACTTAACATATGGTAGGTAAGCAATAGCTCTTCAACAATCTCGTTCCCACATTGTCCCACGGGCCTCTTCCCTTCTGCCCACTCTTTCGCTGGCTCCACGGGGAGAACCTACATGTAGCCGTATCCTACTCCCCAAGGTGAAACGGAAGCAAGGGAACACTCGCTTCCATTTCACCGTTTGTGTGTGCGTGTGCGTGCGCGCGTGCGTGTGCGTGTGTGCGTGTGCGTGTGTATCGGACAATTTGTGTAACTGATGTTTTCCATTTGTAAAGAAAAAGAGCACAACTTTAAAAAGCACCAAAATATCGCATTACTTTACCTTAACTTAAGAAAAAAGATAACTCAAAAATGCTCAATTTTTTAATCGAGCTCTACAGGAACGCTCGAGTCGAAAAATGCAAGCCGTCTTTTCTCTCTTTTGGTCACCAAACCTGCACCATGGTCCCAAGCGTTCCTAGCGGAGATGCTAGAGTCTGGGGATGAGAATCGCGAGCCTCCCTCAGTAAGTCTGCCTCTGTCCCTGATATCACACTATTTTTTTCTGCTCAAATATCTGGGGGGTGGTACAAAGGCCGAAATTTTTGCCTGATTACATGGAGTTATTAACATAATTTAATATGACAGCTGTCGCCCCAGGATAAAATGATATGGCTGGTTTTTCCCTCTTTTAGCTCCATCCTTGATGAAATCTCTTATTATGTCTTGATCACGTTTACATGATAGATGTGGTAGCCTGCCCTGGCTGGTGGCTCGGTCTGTCGGGTAGGGTTACCCTATCAGCCAAGGTCGCAATGTGCCATGTAAACGTCTCAAGGAGGGTAACCCTCCTAGCCAGGGTCGCGTTCATGTTAAATTTAAAAGCGCGCCAACAACCTCACCCCGGTAACCTGAGGTTGTAAAAATTGTTCGTAAACGCAAACTTTTCGAGCACGGCTAAGCCTACCTGGAGTACCCCACTTTCATGCAAACAAGCCCTTAAAAGGAAGACGATATGACTCCTTGAATGGCGTGACGCAACAGACAGCTGGTAACTGCGTGACTTTGATCTTCACTCCCAGGTTTTGGCATGAGAGAAGTTCTTGCCACGCATTTGTGGCCTGAAGGAGAAAGAAATCCGGGAAATGTTGGTGTACTTCTCCCTAATTGGAATGTAAGGTACCATTATGATTCGATTTAGCGCCCTCTTTCCAATAAGCACTCCCTCTCTAAGAGAGCCCCCTTCGAGTCTGTTTTGCCAATAAGCGCCCCTGTTCTAAGAAGTGCCCTTATTGAGTAAGCACCCTTATTCCAATAAGCGCCCCTATTCTGTTTCAGTAATAGCACTGCTAGAGTGCTTGTACGCTGAGATCAACCGTGGTACATCTTCCTTTAATTGCTCACGTGAAGCTTCACGACAAAAAAGTGGTCTTCGTCTCAGTCTCTCAACTATTATGTCGCTGTTAGTGCTCAGTTTCTTAAAACGAAAGATCCTGTCTTAAAATTTTGCAACAATTGCTCGGCAAGTCGTTCTAGCAAGGAAGGGCCCACGGACAATAAGTGAGTTTTCCAGTCTTTTTGATCCCCAGCCCAATAAACATCAAAGCTTTGTTTCACATTCTGCTGATTCTCAAAAAAGAGATAAGCACCTTGTCCCCGTGAGGAGAGCGTCCTGTTTCGAATAAGCGCCTTCCCTTCAACTACTAAAAGTAAAGAAGTGCCCGTGGTGCTAAATCGAATCATTACGGTTGTACAAAAGCTAACTCTTATGATAAATTGTTGAATGGGAGAAGGATGATGAACTTTTTTTCATGCAGTAGGGAGCTCATCACTCAAAGAGAAGCCACCTCTCATTAACGATGCAGTAACAGCGTCGAAATTCGTGAAAAGTATGCCAGGAATCTGGTATTAGGACCCTACTCAGACCTCTGGCGGGCTTAGCCGCTCACACAGCAGTGTGAATAAGACCTTGCTCGCAGGTCAAGGTTCGAAACGAGCGCCTCTCAAAAATCGTCGACACTCATTGGTAAAGTTCTGTACTTAAAAATTGTTGATGTAACCACCGGCGCTCTTCTTGGTCCAGGTCAGGACGATGAAATGTGTATCAGAGGACCAACAATTATGAAAGGTTGTATTTGATTATAAGCGAACCAAAGTACGCTCCAGAAAGCTACGTATTCAAGGCCAGGTTACCCGTGACTTCCGATGCCACACCTGTTTTCTCTAAACTGAAAAGCTGCGGGCTTATTCACTCAGGTTTCCATCTTAGCGTGAGGATCAGCATAAAACTTTCAAAACAGTCAGTGCTTTGAGAGGGGTTGGGGGAGGGGAAGGGGGGAGGTGGAGGGGAAGGGGGGGTGGAGGGAAAAATATCTTTAGCACAATAAAGTTTTATTCTTAAACTCGCCGAAAACTGTTGTATTTTGATCTCAAAAGCGAATTCATTACTTGCGCATACGTTATTTTGCTCTTTATACTCTTTTTGGAAAGCATACCAGTCAGTTTCACGAAGTTCGTCGCTGTGTCCTGATCGGGTAAAAGTGACTAAGACAAATGACTAAGTTTACCGATTCAATGACGAAACCTGACGAGAGTTTAGCAATCGTGAACGACTACTTCCGAAAACCGTACGAAAATTGGTTCTTTTCTGTCTCGGCAAAAGCGGTAAAACTTCTCTTGGAGGAAAATCGCTGTACGCGTGTCCTCGCTATTTGTCCCCGAGCGGTTGCCGTCCCCTGGCCAAACGTTAGGCTAATGTCGAAGTAAATTTGTATATTCGCTTAATCTCTGTCTCGGCAAAAGCGGTATAATTTCCTTTAGTGGAAAATCGTTCTTTGGGGCGCGTCTTCGCTTTTTGTCTTTAAGCGTCTGTATGAAATGACAATTTCTCCCTGGTTACCTGAATAATCCTGAAGCTACCGGCCAAATGGTAGATACGGACAGATGGGAGCACAAGAGTGATACGAGACATAATGGGCATTTCTTTATCGTGGACAGATTGAAAGAACTTATCAAGTACAACGCATTTCTCCTTCACACCAGCATTTATATGAGAAACATTCTCTCTCCATATCAAAGCAAACTTATTTGAATAGGGAATGCAACAGACTTGGTATGTCGACTTTGCAGGGGACATTTTCTTCGATGAGAATTTCAGACCAAGAAGCGTTAAAACTTTCATCATTCAGCGTTCCATTCGTAATTTCCATACATTTCTCCGTATTTCCTGGGTATATTTATATACGTCAACATACTCGAAAGGTGATTCGCCTGTGGCCCGCCACGGTATTACTTTGAAGCGATATCTGACATGGAACTCAGACGTTTTTCCTGGCCAAAGCTTGCAAAAACATCCCCACCGTCTCTTTATTTCAAAATGATTCTTCATCCTGTCAGCGTCTTTTTACGAAATTACTTTTTTCTACTAACGGCCTCCGGCCAAAAGTTATTTCGTGAAAAGACGCTTCAAACGGCCCATGGACGCTTTAAAATATCACAGATGCGTCGATTTACATTCCATTTAACTTCATTGAGATATTCAGACCGACATGTAATTTAGACAGGCAATTTTCAGAGCTTTATTCATTACCCTCATAGATTTTGTTTGTCTCATGTCAACAATTATTAACCACGAGTGTGGTATGCCTGTGTTCGAACACTCTACCAATGAGCTATGGGATATTCGTGGCTGGCTATGGTGGACCTCAATGAATAAGCTTTTTGACTTGATTTTCTCTGGAAAGGAGGGAACAAGCAGCAAACACAAGCATGCATTCCGAATTAAAAATAGCACAACTTTTTGTGTTGCTTGTAATGCCAAAGTTAGTCATAAAATTCATCGAGAGAAAAACTATATTCTTTAATCCTCAGGATCAAATTAGAAATTCTCCCTTATAGTCTATTAAATCAGTTGAGAGAACTTGGCGTTCTATCAATTGAACGCTTTGTCTGAAAAGCTTGGCTTTTTTCTGTATCTGTTTATTGGATATTATAAACGAATTGATATTGTATTGCATGAGAAATTACTAGTTAATTTTCAAGAATTGAAGCGAATATATCTGATAAATATATAAAAAAAATATTGTTGATGTTATTTGCGTCCGCTGCAGCACTAAAGAGGACAAGCCTGCAGGCTGACAGATCGTTAATCGCATTAAGCGTTGCGTAAAACGACGCAGTAAAACGAGATTCTTCTCCTCTTGGCAACGCAGTGTAAACATAGGCATGCAACGCATGCAAGCGTTTTGTGGGTTAGGATGGGCCACCAAATAATTGACGTTTGCATTCTTGTACCAGAAAAAAATAATTACTTTTCTTTTGCAGTCTATTGTCTTTGTTGTCTAAATAATTGTAAGCAAAAATAAACTGCATTGGTGCAACACTCACTGTTGTCTCCTTCAGAGCCATCGTTTGGTCTCGTCACGCAACACGTTCTCTCTCCTCCCGTTGCGTGACGAGAGCGAACAAAGGCTACGAGGGAGGATACGCTAGC